TTTGTTATATACGTTCGTTTTTCTTTAAAAAAAATTATTTTGAAAATATGTATGTACATGCTTGTACTTCTGGTATAAAATCGATTTTATTAACGGGAGGGAATTTTTAAGATAAGTGGAGGGAAAAATCTTATTTAAAGGTTGGCAACGCTGCTGTCTGATGAAGATCATGGTTGAATTGTGTGTCTTGATTGAAGTCAGTAGGCTCCAGTCTAAAGATCTGGAACCTTCCAATTGGGGATTCTAGATAAGTTAGGATAATCTATAGATATTTCACCTCCTCCGCAAAAGGATTAGTTTCCTTGGCCAAGTTAGTTTTTTAAAGCTTTTCGAGATTTGATAAAAAACAAATGGCAAGTTATTTCAATATTTTTTTTATAGAAATATCAATAATAATAATCAAAACCTAACTAATAAAATATCAGACAAATGGAACAACAAGTCAATGTTCCTAGAACCCACGGAACATTTGGAATTTGAAGAACTAATTTCAGGTCTTAAAAACAATGCCTCTCTGGGAATGGATAAAATAACAGCTAAAGTCATTAAATTAGTTAAATCCAATATCGAGAGTTGTGTCATACCAATTTATAAATCTAATAGGAGAGACGAAATGACAAATTATCGGCCAATTTCACTAATAAAAAATTTCTCAAAGATATTCGAAAATGTTTAAATAAAAGAGTATGGTCATTTCTAAATAAACATAAAATAATCACAGAAAAACAATACGGGTTCCAAAAAGGAATTGGAACAGAACTACTTTTACAAATACCTATATTAGATATACTAGCCAACTTTAATGAAAATAAAAAGAATGTTGCGGTTTTTCTTGATCTTCAGAAAGCATTTGATACAGTTTCACACCAAAAATTACTTGGAAAATTAGATAACATAGGTTTTCGCGGTAATGTTTTAATAATTTTTTGTAATTACTGGACAGATAACCGCAACAAGTACGTGTTGGTTGTGAATTAAGCGGAAAAATAACAGTTATTGCAGTTTCGCTTTGTACACTATATTCGAAATTTTTATGGTTCTTTTGAGAATATTCGTCATTAGACTCATTTTCCATAAAATCTTCTGGATGTTTAACTGTATTTTTATTTACTTCTATTACCCATTTATTTACTAATTTCTTCATATTTAAGATCCTGAAGCTTCTTACGTCTGCTTCAAGTTCTGCCAATTCAGCTTCCAACTGTAGCTGTTCTATAATTTTATAATCATATTCTTGCGATTGCGCATACCAGTCCATAAATATGTAACAAGAAAACGAAGCAACGACTTATCGTAGGGTGGCGGCTTCGCCGCCACCAAAAATCATCAACCCATACCTGGCTACACCGACCGGCATAGACGCCAACGGCCTGGACACAGCTCAAATTGAATAATTGAAATGAAAAGTCTCAAATAAAATTATTTATATTCTGGTTTTATCATCTGGCCTGGAGCTATTGAAAAAACAGCCACTGCCCTTCCTATTATGTACGTTCTTTTACTGTTTGACAACACCACATTTATAGAAATAAAAATATCAGTTGTCATATTATTCATAAACAAAAAATAATATAGAACGGTATTACCATGATTATTTTTTTCGTATAACTTTTAACCAATTAGAACGTTCAATTTAGTTAAGTTACCTCGTATAATTTCGATAATACCTGATTATACATAGAGTAGCTCCACCAATCAAAAATATTTACAATAATTTCATTTCCGTAGTAACCACATCGACAACAATACAGTAACTAACAGGACCGTCAAATTTTGACGTTTATCAATAATTAATAATTGTAATTTTCATTGTACCAATATGTACTTATTTAAATTAATAAATTGTTGATATTTACTTAATTTACTCAAAAAATAATCGTATCAAATACAATACGTACTTCAAAATAAATACGGTTATACATCTCAAACTTCCTGCATACTTACAAATCGTGTCAGTTTGACAGAATAATCCTCCCGCTTCGCGGTCGGATTATTTAAACTGTCAAACTGACACTCTTTATAATTTTGCAACAAGTTATCGATGTATAACCTGATTATTTTGAAGTACTTATAGTATTGCTACTGAATATATTTATTTAGAACAAATAACAAAAAGCAATTGGCAACATCGCTAAAATCACGCACAGACGCTCTTAGTGTGACTGTCAAATTGAAAAAATTAAAAACAATATGACTACGTAAGAATGTCGTGAATAAATGTATATTCTATTTTTTTTTTTAGCTTACAAATGTGTTTTAATAATATTTGTTGCTTTAATTAGGTTAGTGCACACTTATAGAAGATTAAAAAGTGTAAAAATATTATGATTTTACTTAATCTTTATGGAAAAAGTGACAAAATTACTGTCCCTAATATCGTCCTTAGCCTTTAATTAGTATTTCTTTCAATTCAGCTTCTATTTTTTCCTTTTAGCAGAAAACTGTAGTTGCTTAATTTCTTTATGCTCCAATTCTCTTGTCTCTAAGTGAATACTTTCCACAACATCAGGGTTAGTTGATTTTACGACTAAAAACGTTTATTAAATACTAAAGTGGTAACCACTCCGTTTTCCCTGAGAGGACTGCACTGGTTTCCATACCTGTGATATTTTCTTTCTTGCCAGGTATATACCTTCTACTAGGTATTCCAAAATTACACCTAGTGCTCTTTCTAACTGTAGACTGTAGACCAATTATAGATTACTTTATTTGTAATTAAAGAACCTATGTGATTTTTAATTCTTTTTATTTCCAATAACTGACATTGTTTATTCCTAATTTCAAAAAAAAAAACATGTCTACTTGACTTTTTTATTTAGACTAATTTAGAAACTAATTTAATCCTCTCTACAGTTACAACGAGAAAAAATATATTGAACTAAAAATGCAAATATACTTGAAAGCCTTTTGTACTCTTTAGAGCCTTACTTTTAGTCAATACTGAATTATAACCATAAACAGTCCTTGTAACAATACTCTCCTATACTCTCTCATAAAAATTTGACAATTACATGTTTGTAAACATAATTAATCTAGTAGTTTTTCATTGTTGATTATGTCAGACACTAGAACCTACTTGATTTGAATATAATTATTTAATAGACCCTTGCTGTGTCCCTTCTAATCAACGCCTGTCGCTTGGATTACAACAGAACAGATTTTTGTTTGTTTTTATTTTCATAATTTTTTTGAAAGTAGAACCAATTATTGGTCACATACTCTGATATGCTGTAGTAAAAATAGATGACCTTACATACTATTACGGCTAATAATAGAGACGTAGAAAAAAAGGTAACAAGAATGTTATATTAAATCATTATAATTATTGATAAACAGGTTGTAAATTAGATAAAGCATTTCATTTTTTACAAGATATTAAAATAAATAGCCCATTAATAAAAATTATGTTCCTTATCATTAACATAATGTTTACATACAACAAATTTATTGTCAATCAATTTATTTTAATTTTTTTAGATAAGGACCCCTTACCAAATATAGTGTTGATTATTAAAAAAAGATATCCTTTAATCTAATTGGTTTTACATCTAATCTAGTTTAAATTATACGAATTATATAATCATCTAGTTAGTTATTACGAGGTAATTTTCAGCGAATTAAAGATGAGTATAGTAATTAGTTTGGTGATAGCAGTTTCTTCATAAGTTATTAATTTATGCAGTTTCAAGTAAATAAATATAATTATCCTGCCTTCTTTTGAGTATTACATCTGTTCTTAAAATCACACAGTAAATTATGTTTGTGAATACTAATTGGCACAATTTTTGAATGAACTTAAATAAAACATCACAGATATATTTATCAGATCACTTAAAATAATCCAAAAAGGATTTCAAGAGCATACTAAAAAAATGTATGAAGAAGGAAGATATAAATTAATTGAATATAATTGTAAAAGTGAAAGTTCAACATATCACTGTACTCAAAATTTAGACAGGGATGACAAACTTCATCAAAGAAATTGCCTTGAATTTCCTCTGCGAAAGAATGCAAGTAGCTGTCAAAATTATAGAACAGTGGTGCAAGGACCACTTACTGTCTATCAATCCCAATAAGAGAAAATAACACAAAATTGGGTTATATTTATATTAATATTAACATGGTCTTATAGTCTTAGTTTTGTTATTTCCTTGTTATGTATTTTATAGCACACAAATTGTTATATTTTAGTGACTACATACATGATGCAAGTAATAATTCAGCTTTCGGATGACTATGAAGATGGCCTTCTTTAGTGCACTTCAAATGGTTAACACCTCGACGAAGAGGAGTTTATTGGACACTCTACCATTTTTATTAATTTTAGATGAGCTTTATATAAGTGGTAATCAAGGTTGCCAAGAGCCATTGAGCATTTTTATAAAATTATGTCCTTTCTTTGTGAAATGTCTAAAAAAAGGTCCTCAGCTTGTATTCTTCCTAAACCAGGTCCTCCTTTGTCTGAAGAGCTTCTAAAAAAAGGTCTTGTCTCTCCAAAACATCCTACAGCTTCCCCCCTCATCGTTCCTGGTGGTAATAAACTTTTAGTTTTGGGGGGGGTAGTAGTAATATTTAACACTTTATTTTACCTGCATTACCCTCCATATATGCGCCCCTAGATGAGGTAGAGTAGGAGAAGCAGGATAAATAAGAGTACAGTAGCAGGCAGGAGAGCAGGAAATATAGAAAAGGAGTGAGTGAAGGTAGTAGCAGAGATCAGGCAGTTAAAGAAGTAAAGCAGGATGTGTAAAAAGCAGTAGTTGTAACAGCAGGAAGAAACATAGGAAGTAGAAAAATTGGAACAGGTGTAATTTCTTTAACATTATTGTAATATTTTTACCTTATACAGGGTGAAACCATTACAATATACATAAAAACAATTCAATTTGTTGTTTTAATCTTAGAACGGTCCTGACCTTACTAATTAAAAATATATTGCCATACTCTACATTTTTAGTGAATGATAATAATATAATTAGTTAATATTGGCTTGAACTCACCTAAAGAAGTCACTCCTACAAAATAGTTTGCTTTCCCTGGAGAAGCATTTATCAGTCAATGGTGCGTGGCAGTCAAAACATCGCACGCATTCAGCGTGCCAGGTTCTCTCCAGAACGTTCAGGAGAAACTTGTCGAGGATAGGCTTTTCGCAGCCGGCGCAGGCTATTAGCATCCCTGCGGCTGGCTCACACCTACCTGAAATCAATATTAAACAATATATCAAATTTTTATGATAAAAAAAATGCGGTAGTCTGGAGTTTAAATCTGATTGAATTGAAGACTATTTGAATAAAATCTTTTTTTTTCAGTGTACTTTATTTTATAAATTAGTAAAAGTCATAAATTATTTTTAAGTTAGTTATTTTATCTTAATAACCTAAAATAATTTTTAAAATGCGGTAGAAATGCCACTAAATTGGAGGAAAGCAGTAGTTCTGCCAACATATAAGAATGGGGACCCAGCAGACTGTGGAAACTATCAAGGTATAGCTTTGCTGGACATTACATATAATGTACTAGCCACGTTAATAAAAAGAAGAATAGAAGTAGAAGGAGAAAAAATTATCGGAGAATACCAATGCGGCTTTAGAAAAGGCAGGTCAACGACTGACCAAATTTTTATTTTAAAACAGGTACTCACGTGTTGCTACGAATACGAAATACCGACCGATATTATGTTTATTGATTTTAAAAGCGAATATGATACAGTAAATGCTTTAAAAGAACTAAAAATACCTCTTAAACTTGTAAAACTGACGAACATGACCCTGGAAAGTACAAGGTGTGTAAAAAGAGTAGGAGGCGAGGAAACTAGAATTTGAAGTCCAAAACGGTCTTGGGCTGGGAGACCCATTATTGTCCACCCTTCTTTTTAACTTAACCCTTAAAATACTAATCAGAAACAGCAGAATAAACAGATATGCAAAAAAAGATCATCAACTGTAAAGAAAAAGCCGAGAACAGGGATGAATGAAAGAAACTAACCAGGCCATAGACCTAAACGGTCTGTTTGATGCTTTATTTTCGTTAGTGGGTCATAGAAAAAATATACTGGAAACTCGAGTGGATTATCCGCAGTGCACTCAGATGATTTTACACTCAGCTACAGCGTCGTGCTCAAACTTCGTCTTCGTGAGATATGGCCATCATTATCCACTCTTGTTACACAAACTACTATTTTTCACTACCTCGCCGTATTCTATATCATCTCATCTACTCTCAATATCTTAAATAGCTAAATTGTCGTTAATACATATCGCCTGCTAAGAACCATAGTGGCGAAATTCCAAAATCGTAATTTTGAGATAATCGCATTTAAAGTGTTGTTAAAACTTTTAAAAGTATAATAACAACTACAAAGACATACGCTGCCATCTACGAGTAAGGAAGTAAGGTAGCTTTTCGTCTCTCTAGCACGTAACAGAGAACCCATTTGAGTATCATTTGGTGGACTTAACTTAAAATTGTCGTTTTCCGAGTTTCGTCACTATTGATCTAAGCAAGCGATATAATGTTCCTATTTATGTACTCATGTGTCTTAATACAAGTATATCATGGATTGTTACTCTTCTACTTCCTAATATGTCCAGTTAAGTCAACTCCTGAACGCACTATTAACCAGTTCTACGCCTGGACTAAAATATGGCGCATCAAATAGAATGAAAACAAGTCCATTCACGTCAACAATTCAATAAAAATAAACATATTCAGATCTCATTCGGTTTGGCAAAAAAATGTCTTTCTCAAATATCTCTTTTCAAAAACTCAAAAAAAGATATAAAATTTAAAAATCTAAATCCGGGTTGGTCTTGTGTATGAAATTTGAGGAATAGGAAGTTTCTTTGTTTTTACCTTTTTTCAGTATTTTCTTTTCGTTTTTTTTCTAATGAATCATGCTTTATAATACTTATTGTAATTCAGTAGCGTGTGACTTTAGTAGCGTGTTTATTTCAATAATGCTTATTTATGGATAGTTCAGCTGTTGCACTGGTCGTACAGTGTACGTTTTCCCTTGCCCATCCTAAAAAAAAAACCAAAGAAATTTTTATTTATATCAAAAAAAAGATCTCTAGACAATATATCGACATTCTTCAATCATATCCAATAGGAAGAATGTTTAGTGGAAGCAAGAGGAGGCATACTTCGAAATGAAAGAAATTAAAGCAGGTGTCCCACAAGACACTATGTTAGGACCAGTTCTTTACTTACTATACACCAGCGATATCCCTCAACAACAATGTGTTAAAATAGCGACATTTGCAATGATACTGCAATATTGGTAGTTGGCGGAATTACTACAGAGACCTCTGAAAAACTCCAGGAAACCTTCCAACATATTCATTCTATGGACACAAAAGTGTAAAATAAAAATGAAACTAAATCTTCGACATAATGAACCAAAACAAATAAAAATAAACAACGATTCGGCCAAATACCTAGGGATAAACCTAGGTGTACGACTTAATTGGAAAGCACAAAGCACATAAAAAGGGGACTAAAGAACTTGAGCTTAAATTTAAAAAACGGTATTGGCTCCTAGGAAGAAAATCCAAATTGTCAGTGTACAACAAAACTGCAGATTTATAAACAAATCCTAAAACCAATCTGGATTTATGGCATACAGCTAAGGGGATGTGTCAGCAAGAGTAATATCAACAGGATATAAGTTTTTCAAAATAAATAAGATTTACCTTTATAGAGACCTGAAGATGTCAACAATAGATAGAAGAAGAAATAGTTCGTTGCGAAACGTGTCCCACGTCAAAGAAGAAGCGCTGGTATTACTAGACAACTCTATACTCAACAGAAGGCTCAAAAGGAAGAAGCCATGTAATAAATCGTCACGTCAATGATTTCACTGGTCTACAGTGGTTTTGTTGCCCTAGATATGAAAATGATTTTGGGTCTATTTATGCACACAATTCATGAAACTATCAATGATTTTGTAAGATTTGCTCTCATTTTTTTTTAAATCTTTATTTTCATTTTATATTACAAAAATAGAAAAACAAAATACAAATTAACAGATATATTTATAATGTTAGTTCTGTTGTGAGAAATTAGGATACATCGAAGTAAATAAAGAGGAAAATATCGGAAATATGTTTTATATTTCCATAAAACGCCTTTTATGAACTTTTCTCTTATAATTTTTCAGTGGACAATCTCTTTTCAAAGACCAGCAGTAATCTGCCATCATGTGACAATCCCATCGACCCTGATACCTTTCCTCCATCACTTAGATCTTGGTGAAACCGCTCTCCCTGTTCCTCACTATAATTCCCTAAATTATCTGGAAATTTATCCAGATGATTGCGAAGATAGTGTAACTTAACACTCATATTTGCTCCTAAAGTCTGAAAGTTTGTCAGCATATCTTGCACAATTTCTTCATAATTTGTTGCTTTATGGTTACCTAAGAAATTTTCGACTACCAACACGTAACTTTTCCAAGCTTTACTTTCCGGAACAGTCATAACTTTGATAAAATCTGAGTCTTTTATTAATTGCCGTATTTGAGGACCATCAAATATTCCACCTTTCAATTTTTCCATACTAAGCTTCGGAAATTTTCTGCAAATATAATTAAAACAATCTCCATCCTTGTTTACAGCTTTTACAAACTGCTTTATCATACCTAACTTAATATGCAATGGTGGAAGTATGATTTTGTCTCTGCTCATGAGCACCAGTGGCTCCCTTATTACATTGGCTTTACCGACAGTTAAAGAATTTCTTACAGGCCAAACATCTTGTTCCCAGTGAAGTTGCTTCGCTCTACTGTCCCACATACAAATAAAGCAAGTGTATTTTGTGTATCCACTTTGTTGGCCTAGTAAAAAATTAACCATTTTTAAATCCACACAGATCGGCCATTCATGCTCCGAATATTTAATTTTCTCTAAAACTAATTTTACATTTTCATATTCTTCTTTAAGTTTCGTTGAATGGGCAATTGAAATTGATGCAAACTTATTTCCATTGTGCAATAAGACACATTTTAAACTTCTTTTGCAACTGTCAATGAAAAGGCGCCATTCAGTCGATTTGTATTCCTTTAAACCCATGTCTAAAAGCAGATTCGCGATATCATTACAATACACCAATCCCTGATCGTCACTAAAAAACTGTAATAACTCTTTTTCTCGCGTTCTGTATGTTGTAATTGTTACGGTTGGTGCTAATAGATTTTTTTCTTTCAATCTTGAAGCTAACAGTTCTGATCCTTGTTTTGATAAATTGAGATCACGTATTAAATCATTAAGTTCATTTTGAGAAAATAACTTTGGCGTAGATGTTTCACCCTCCCATTCACTTCCACTGCTAGACGGTCCCGATTTCTGTGAATTTGGCAACATCATTGTTTCTGAGGGCATGCGAATTACTTTTGAAACGTAAATAGGCCGAGGGAGATTTTCACTGTGTGGAACCGGACATTTCGTAGACTGTAAGTCTGGGTATTTCCACTTTTGATTTCGATTGAAACCTTTAACATCTACTACACAAAAGTAACAATCATCAAAATGATTCGTAGGCTCCATCCAGATCATAGGAATACCAAAGTCTAATCCAGAACGTTCTCCTTTTTTCCACAACCGTAAAGACTCAACACAGCATTTACAAACTTTATTAGGAACCCATGGTTTACCTAATTTGTCCATTCCAAAACCGAAATATTCAACATAACTCTCCTTGACAAAGTCTGTGATATTTCGTTTTTGTTTTTTTGATATATAAACACCGCAAATATAACAAAATAAATCACTACAATATTTACACTTTCTCCGTGACGAACTCATATTTTAGAAGACAAGACGAATATATCAGAATGGACATACAGTAATTGAAACAAAATATTAATCCATGACAACTTAACCAGATTCACGTGTAAGTACTTCAATATTGTCATATAACTGAGATTTCAGCTGTTCTGTGGAGCAAGGCGTCTGAGAGGTGGGATCACGTGATGTTTGTATGCGCTAAAAAGTTGCGCAGAAGCCTTAATCATGACTGAAGAACTTAATTTTATTTCTAAGAAGCCGATAATTGTTTAACACATAAGACATGCAAAAATCATAAAAATACGAGCACATTGAGAACTTTCATGAATATATTCGAAATCTGGACACTTGAAAACATAAAAATTCGCGATGATATCCAGGGCAACAAAAAAAAATTTTTTTTTTGTAGAACTG